TGCATTATTTTACATTGATCAAGCTTAAGACGCCATGCACTAGAATGTCTAGCCATATTGCTTAAAAGCTTGTCGTTATATTCATATTTGGTGACTATAATGTTCCAAAATCCATTTGACTTATAAAAGCATCCATTGAGTTGAAAGGATCAATCAATCTTCTGCATAGATTCTTTGCAAATTTGCTTTGCATCTATTAGGTTTTTTGTTGGATTATACTTGCTTCTATGATCACACCTTAAAATGATCTTCTCTTGAGGAAAATCAAAGCATAGAGTTGTAAACAAATAATCTTGAGTGTAAACAAATATCTTTACAAAGTGCACCATTTCTTCTTTTGATGGATAAGAATTCTTAAGTAGAAGTAATATGTTTGAAGGTTTGGAAATTGACAATGTTTGGAGGTTTAGAGATATACTTGGCATTGTCATGGGTGATTTAGGGGCAATTTAACAATCTCATGAAGGGAGAGGATGGAAATTCTATTTTGAAGGATATAATCATATTAAGCATTATAGGTGCTTTAAAAGAAGCCTAAAAGTCACATAGGGATAGAAATAGAGTATTGAGGGAGTATATTTAGTATTTTCTTATTGTAAAATTATGAATAAATTGTTATATACTAAAGTATCAAAATTTGAGGACTTTAATATTATGGAATTTAAGGTAAGTTGGATTGTCATATAAATTATTTATGAGAGATTTAAATACTCAAATTTTCCACAATAATATATATATATATATATATATATATATATATATATATATATAATAAAAAAATCACATTTAATTGACATCAATTTTATGTACATTAAAAAATACCATTTTAACCAAAAATAATAATAATTGTGAATCAAAAATAATACTCAATCACAAGTCACATTTATTTTTGAATTGAATTCAACAAAAAAATATATTTCTTCTTCTTTTTCTTCTTCTTACTTATAACAAAATACAATTATTTCATCTTTAAATATGATTTTTTTTAATCATAAAAGCTATATTTTTAACTTTTTAATTGGTTGCATAATATATTAAATATTTTAAAATTTAAAACTTGGTATTATTTTATATTATAATAATATACATTAGATTTTGGATTGTTGCATTGAAAACTAAGAATAGGATAATGTTAGATTTCAACAAAATTAATCTAATCCAAAGTATCAAATATTGGATATGATATTTTACATTCTTTATTAAAAAATAATATAAAAACATTGGAGTAAAAAAGTATTTTATAATAAAATATATTTTTTAAAATTTATATTTTATTAATTAAGTAATCTTTTAGAAATATTATGCTTGATTTAAAAGATAATAAAGTTGTAATTTTTATAAAAAACTTATAAAAAAATAATTTTTATAAAAATAAAATAAAATACAAAAACAAAAACAAAAAAACTACTTCTTTACAAAGATTTGTATCTCTTATTATAAAAGATTATATAAAATAGAACAAACAAGATGGATATAATAATAAGTTCTTTGTTTATATATATATATATATATATATTTATATTTTTAATTATTCTATTACTTTCACATTTCTACCAAATATTATTATTGAAGAATAAAAAATAATACCACATAAGAAACAACAAAAATCTCATTGGTTATGATTTTTTACTATAAAAATATAACTATATTCTTATAAGGTTTTTCAATTGTTAAATAAATATCATAATTTATTTAGACAATAAATATGAATATCATTAATCTACTAATTTTTTGAATTAAACACACTATTTTAAAGATAAATCTTAATATTATTATATTCAAAACTATACTTAAATAAATGCAAATATATATATATATATATATATATATATATATATATATATATTAATTAGTATCTTGACTTTAATCAATATAATTTAATGATAAAAAATTAAATCAAAATCAATATGTTTTCAAATTGGTCAACTTATACAAATAAGGTCATAGTATTCAACTCTATTGCATTTTTTTACTATTAGAAATATATTGTAGCCTAGCATATGTAATGGTTTTATAGCAAAATAAAAAAAAGATTGCATTTTGAATCAATTTCATATTTGCTATTTAAAATTAAAGATATTATTGTTTAGGTATGTTTAAAATTTATGTTTTAGACTTATATTATATTTTTATTCTATCAAAATAGATTTACTTTAGCAACTACAATTAATGACTCAATTTATTTAATTCCTTGAATATGACTAGTAATCTATTTAATTTATTAAATTATTTGAAATTCCATATAAATCACTTAAATCACATGTAATATGTTACTTTTCAAAAACCTATTTAGATATTTAATATTTAATATAAATATTTGAAATTATATATCTTTTTTATTTGTTAAGAATTTCAGAAGATTTCTTATAACTATTTACAAAGAATAAAAATAACATAAATCAAATTTAACAAACATTTTTTAAGCATAATGAGTTTTATAAATGAATGGTTGCTAACTATGATAGAATACAGGTTTTTATTATTAGAAAAAAATGAATTTAGAAAGTAACAGAAGTAACTCTTTCATATATAATATTTGTATTTTTTAATTAAAAATCTAAAAAACATTAATAGCAAAACACATTAGTTTGTCATTGTTCTATATATATATATATATATATATATAATCACGATTAATTTATTTGATAGTACATAATAAACTCATCAATGCAACACCAAAACAACTTAGATGCAAAGATCTACAAACTTTATAATTTAGATAGACTTTAGAATACTAAGGATATTTTTAAATTTAGATAGGCTTTAGAATACTAAATATTTATTTTCATTGTTTTTAGTGCATCAATCTTACCAACTAGAAGTCTTTAGTTTGCTACATCTTATATGCTTGTAGTACACAAATCATTATTGAAACAGGCCCATAAATATGTAACTTGTCTGGGCATTGATTTTGTTTTATATCATTTGAAAAAGTAGTTTATTAAACAGTCATATTGAATTTTGTATATGTCTTAATTGTTTTCATGATTTTCTGTATGAAAAAAAAAAAAAAAAAAAAAATGTATGCATAATGATACAAATTATTTCTAATTTTTTGCTATTTCTACTTTATTTCATAAATAACCAATAATAATAATAATAATAATAATATAATTTTAAAAACATATTAAATACATTATAATTTTAAAAATTGTGCTGTGATTAACAATGTTGAGATTTTTAAATTCAGTTTTTTAAATTTTATTTTTAAATTTTATTTATTTAATCCTTGATTTTTTTTGTAACAATTCATAAATAAAGTATTTCAAATATGTATTAGTATGTGTGTAGGTATATATATATATATATATATATAGTTTTATATTTGAACAGATATCAATAAATATAAAATCATAACTTAAAATGTATAAAATAATAAGAATTTCAACTAAAATATTTGTAATGTATATTTTTTAAAACAAGTCTAACTATTAATACATTTGAGTCTCTTATTTTTTGTGATGTTATATTAAGAGACATTGTTCTTAAAACATAAAACTATAAGAAAATTTTAAAGTCTTTATATCTCAGTGGAAGCTAAGACATGTACTTAAAATTATAATATACATTTAAAAAATAATAGAAAAACATTTGTCAATAGATGGAATATACAAATCCTAGTATTATTTTTGTATTTGCTTATATCAATGTTGTGTTTTATTCAAAGAAGTTTATACAATCCTTTAAAACAGATTTATTCTATTTACTTCTATTTATGTGTCAATCACAGTAGATGTTTGTAACATCAAGAAAAGAAAAAGAAACAAGATATAAAAAATATGAATTTTAATTAACAACTTAATCATGAATATGAAAATACACCATGATCAACTTTATGAAATAGTTTTACCAACAACAAGAGTATTTTGTAATTTTATGTTGTGATTTTTTTTTTTTTTTTTCCGTGCAAAATTATATTTGTAATTATTTTAATAAAGGATGTAAAAGTTGCAACAATTGGAATTGTATAGTAGAATTAGACTTGGCAATCTAAAATATAATATTGAATATCAAAAATACATAGCAAAAATCATACATATAGAAAGCATTTCATTAGTAAAGTTGGAAGACTATAGATAATAAACATTTCTAACCTTTTTTTTTTTTAGAAGCATGGCTTGTATTCAACATTTTTTTGTGCCTCAAAGTCTTAAATATATTTGGTTACACATTAGCCCCATGATGTTTAAAAACACATCAAAGAACATCTTACTTAATATACATGTGATTGGAACCAACAAGAATTGTAATTAAAATTTCTCATTGTTAGCCAACAAAGGCTGTAATAAGGTGATCATATCATTCATGTGAAAGCATCTCCAATTTGTTAGGATTTCCATATTCATCCTTTCAAGCATCACCAAGTGTAGTAAAGCCTTTGTGTTCCAGAAAAGTAAGAACTGACGTATAAAGACTAATGGGTTTCTGGAAAACGAAAATAAATTATATTCTTCGGTTTACATTGTATTCGTCTACCTTATTTCAAATGTAAGATAAATTGCTAGTCAATTCGGTGTACAACTGCAAGCTTAAAGCACACCATCTTCTAATTACTCAAACTAAGCCATTTCATCCCAACTCAAACATCTGTCGTAGTGTAGACTTGATATAGCAGACTAATATCATTATTTATTTAGCTTGAAATTGTAAGTGATAAAAGAAACATACGAGCAAAGTCATAATGCGCATTGAAATGCTGAAAAGGTTGCTGGGAAGACATCTATGCAACAGTTTGTGGGTGCTGCCCAGTGTTACAGGCTGTAGTTGTCGAATAAAACGAGATAAACAATGTGAGAAAAGATTAGGCAGATTTTGAAGAAGAAGCGGGCTTTAAGACATAATAAAACTAGTCACCAAATTGAGAACTGGAGCATGAATCTAAGTGGCAACTAGAAAGAGGGAGAAACGATTAAACACAGGTACTGTTGTTCAACTTCTTTGAAGACCAGTCCGGATCCGCTTGGAAGCAACAACAACCAAAAACAGCAACAGTAATCCACTTCCTCGAGATTAAGCTTCCAACTGTTCCTTAAGGCAGATCATACATAGGGAATCAAAATTATAACAAGTTCAATTTTAAGTTTCCCCCTTTCCAATCATAAAAGAAAAATTGTCACTCTAGAATTTGAAATTATATAAGATTCTCCTACCCAAGTTCAAATCCCTGCAGTCTAGTTCAGTTCGTGCCTCATCCTGAGGAACGAGGCATCCACGGGTTAAACCTACAGCTGAAGCTCTTCCTCATCTCGAAGCTCTTGTCGTCCCTTTCCCTTGCAAGTAGCATCGTCCGACAATACTGGAAACTGCAACCCGCATATCAAAACACGGAGAAAGCAGATGTTCTAGGTTTTTCCAACAATACCCTACAATCTCTACGGAAGTAAGATCAACAAATTAGAGAAGGCCCACGTACGACAAAATATCAAGAATGATCTAAATAGAAAACAATGCAGCTCTTCACCTGTAGAGTGTGCAAGATTAAGCGGCTTGTGTGGTCGAAGAGCATCCTAATCAGAAGACTCCTACGTATTACATCAGCATGATTTTAGGTATTGTATTACCGACTGGTTCACGAAGGGAAAGCACATGGTCATCGATTGAAGAGAGGCCTACCTTCAAGATCACAGTGCATTCACTTGTCCACCTTCTCGAGCTCCTTCTTGAGCTGCAAGGAGAAGTCATCCGTGACATCGTCGTCATCCCAATCGTCCTCCCATTGTTGCAAGGCGCCTTTCCCCTCGTCTTCGTCGTCCCACACCTCGTTCTCGAACTCCTCAAACTCGTCGTCATCTTCGAATACGTCCAGCTTGGGGTCTTCCACAGCCTCTTTCACCGTCGCCGCAGCACCAGTAGCCCCCGCCATCGCTACGATGTGTTCCACGCTACCACCGTTGACGATTGCCGATCAATCAGAGAGTCCTACACCAAACCCTAACCCAAGCTCAGCTTACAAAGCTCCATCGCTCGCGAGGGTCTGCGTCCAGTCCGTCATCCAACGATACTTTCATCTATTAATTTCATTCGTCAAATTCTGTGCATTTCGTAGATCTACTAAGGTACACGGTCTCAGTAGACCGTACACCACAAGCTTGTGTGTAGATATTTAAATAGAACTAGTTATTAACCACGTTATTTATTTCACCCAAACTAATTTTGAAGGTATCAAACTCATTATCAATCAAAAGCAAAGTAAGAAGTACATGAATTTGATGATTTACAGTATCCAGAATAAAGTATACATTTGAGTGGAGGTTTATTTATTTATTTATTGTTTTAAAACAAAATTCAAAAACAATGTATAACATTCTCTTCAACCATCTTACTAGTTACATCAGTAAATATATTTATTTTATTCTCAAGTGCACTAACATTTTTTAAAATAGAAATTAATAAATAATATTAATAAAACTTAACATCTAATATGGAAATCTGTAATAAAGCATATCTTCCAAAAATAATTTAAAATATAAAAAGTTCACAATTATGTAGGATAATGATGCAGGACAAGGGGAAGATATTTTTAATTCAGAATGTTTAAGTGGTACTAGTTGATGCTACTTACATTACATTCCTCTAAAATTCCAAGTTTATATATATACATATATATACATATATATAATTACTATTTATAAATATTAATAATATATATTTACTATTACTATTTATATATAATATTAAACATCTACTTTTTGAAAATAGATAGAATCATACCTAATAAAAAAATCTTGTAATTTTTTTAATTGATTAAAAATAAGATGACATCAAAAGTTCATGTATTGATTTTTTTAATGATATAATAATATATGTATATATATATATATATATATATATATACATAAATATATATATATATATATACATAAATATATATATATATATATATACATAAATATATATATATATATATACATAAATATATATATATATATACATAAATATATATATATATATATATATACATAAATATATATATATATATATATACATAAATATATATATATATATATATACATAAATATATATATATATACATAAATATATATATATATATACATAAATATATATATATATACATAAATATATATATATATATATATACATAAATATATATATATATATATCACATGATAATAAAAAAATAATATATTCTACTAAAAAAAATCTTTGATCATATATATTATAGATTAATCTTATACAAAAGTCATTTGGTATAATTATATTTATTCTAATTGATAGTTTATAAATGGTGTGTATATGGTGTGTATATAGTGTGTGAGTGTGTAATTACTAGTTAATCTAATATCATAAGAAGAAAATACATTTGAAAGAAATGTCTTTTAAATGTTTTAAAAAAGATTTTTATATATATATATATATATATATATAGAGATAATAATATTATTATTTAATTTCAAAAAAAGAAGTAAAAACAAAAAAATACTTGTAGTTTTTGAAAACTTGTTTTAAAACCCTCTCAATATATATATATATATATATATATGTGTGTGTGTGTGTATAATTACCTTGTGTGTATATATCTATTTAAAAAATTATGATATAAGATAATAATATTAGTGGAGAGTCACTCCACTCTAAATTTAATATATAATTATATGTGTATACTACACTTGTGTATATATATATATATATATTGAAAATAGAAATTGTGGAGATGTATTAGAATACATTTGTGCTTTGTAATTTTCATATTAAGATTTCTTAGATATTTAATTTTAAATTTCATATAATTTAACAAAAAATATCATTAATGATTTTATTTTTTATTTTAAAAAATATATATTTATTTTAAAGATATTTTAGTATTTTTTAATAAATTAATAATAATTATAATATTTATTTAAAATAGTTACAAAGAAATAAAATAAAACCAAATTTATTATAATTTTAAAATATTTTTAAAGCTTTAATTAAGGAGTTTGATATTCATTCTTTTTGATTTCCACTATTATATAGCTTTTAGTTCATTATATGCATTATTTTCAAACTAAAAAAATATATATAACAAAGAAATGTAGATAGGTATTATATTGTATATAATTTTTTTAAAATTTTCTATAGATATAAATAAATTTTTAATTATTCATTAGATGTTTTATAAATTAAATACTAAAATAAGTTTATATATATTTTTATAAAAATATTTTTAAAAAATGTGATTTAAAATCCTCTTATAAGATCAAAGATAGTCATTTTAACTATCATGTAATAAAATAAAATTATTTAAAAGTAAATAAATTATACTATATTATGATTTATTTTATTATTTTAAGTGGAATGATTAATTCTTAAGATTCTTTAAATTATCTTGTCTTTTAAACTATCAAAAAATACCCTTTTTAAGAAGCTACCAAAGAATACCTAGTCTCATGGCTTCTTTGACTTTAGTATTTACCCTCTGCTTTTCTTTCTAAGCCTCCATGCTTTCTTGGAATTGGATAACCTCTCCAAATTCTTCAATTTGTCTCTTGTATACATCCTCTAATTTAAAAATAGATAAATAATTTGTTTTCTTTTTATTTTCTTGTCTTACTTTAGAAACTTTGAATTGTCTCCTATCTTTGTATTCTTTATTAAATCCTACTTCTTAGAATAAATCTTTTGTAAATCACATTGTCTACTTCTTTGGTGCCAATACCAATTACTAAATTATTTTGGACATCTTAGAACATTTCAATAGCCGTTGTATCCTTTTTCACGATTTGGTCCAATCTTTTCTTCATTCTTTTTATAATGTCCATCAAATCCTTTGAAATTTGCCCCTTTGATTGCAATATTGATATACTATCTTTTTGCCTCTCTTTCTCATATTGTCAATCAAATGTTGTGACTAATCTTATGTTTGGATATCAATATTACTCAGTATCTCTATCATGTTGTCTTCGAAATTCCTTCCTTTATTTGTTGATGATGGCATCATGCCTTTGTATTTTTTTACCATTGCATCTTTTTACCAATTGTTTAAACTACTTTAAAGTTTATTTAATGTTGAACCAATCTTTATGTTTATTCCAAATTGTCTCTTATTGGTTCTATGTCTATGAAGTTTTTAGTTTTTCCTTTGGCAATGCTCTCTTTGGAGCTAATTTACCCTCCCATGTTTCTTCTTGCTTTAGTTGCTGCATTTTGTTTCGTGAGATTGTATCTCACTAATATTTTTGCATTCTGTCTCTTGACTAATTCTTCCTTGTCTAATTCTTGGTAGTCTCTTTCTATTATAGTTTAATTATTGCTTCTTCTTCCAAGTATCTTTCTATAGTATTTTTTGGATTTTCCTTGTTTCACTTAGTAAGTTGAGTATGATTCTTTCACGTGGTTTTTTAGATAGGTTGTATGGATCCCTGTTCCAGCCTTCCTCTGATTCCATACATGCTACTCCTTCTTGCTCTTGGTTCTTGACAAGTGCATGATTTTTTCTATATTAGTCTACTCTTTTTTATTATGTGAGTAGCTATTGCTCCTACTTAGATGGATTTTCTATCCTTAGATTATTAAGTTTCAAATTGTAGTTCAATATTTTTACTAAATAATGGTACAAACTAACTTTATAATTCTTTTTTTTAGAGATCTTTGTAATCCTTTCAAATATGCTTTCTAGGTTTTTAGTAAAATAGTTTTAATTTTATTTTATTACATAAATTTTATGATTTATTGGTCTTTTTTTCTCTACTAGATTCTTATTATTGATTTCTAAATTCTTTTTCACTATTTATTTATATTGTTCTATGTATTATTCTTTTTTTGGCTTTTAATAAATTTATTGTTTGATCTTTTATCTAATTAATAAATCTATAGTTTATTCTACTTATTCCTACATTTATGGTTGTGCATTATTTTTTCCTATGATTCATTTGTATATTAGATCAAATCAATTAATGATAAAAGTACTTACCTTGGTAACTATCTATTTTTGTCTTTGGAGTTGTGATTAAATCAGTTGAAATAGATCTATTGCCTATATGTGCCATAGCTTCTCAACTATAAATAAATAATTCCTAATCATCTATATTGTCTCTTCAAGTAGTCACTATACTTGCTACTTGTTAAATCACTATTGTAGCAATATTATTTAAATTTATATAGTAAAATCTAAATGATCCAAACTTATGCATGATTATTCATATGAAATTGTAGATTTTTTCTTTCCTATAAAAAAAAAATAAAATAAGAACCACTTAATTCTTTATTCATTTACAAAAAAATATACATATATTATTTTAAATCCTATATATAATCTATCTATCTATATTCAATCATGGATTCCTAAAATAATCAATCTACATTTAATTTTTTCTTTTTTTCTTAGTTTTTAAATATATTTATATACAAAAATTCATGATCTACAACATCTATATGTTGGACAAAATCCCTACTACTAATTCTCTTATACAAGCTCATAGATCAAGTATCTATTTTTTTCTTTTTTTGTTTCCACTCATAAAAGCTAAGTTACTCTTTAAAAGAATAGTATGCAATACATACACTATTGCCTTGTCATATCATGCTTTTTCTTTAGAAATTCCATGTCTTTAAATAAGGACTCAAAACAAACCCTATTCTTACTTCTAAAATCTTAACAAAAATCTTAATTCTAATTCCTACTATAATTAAATCTTTTGTCCCTCCTAATTGTCATCTACTTGTCTTATTTGTCATCTATTTAAGCATTTCATCTAAATTATCCTTTATCTATCATATTTTTAATCCATCTTATTTTCATCTATCTTGCTCTTTATGTATTTTGAAATTCATCTATTATAATATTTTTTAAGATTGACTTCCATCCCTCCAGCTTTTCTTCATACTAGTCTTCATTCTAAGAGTTCTTCATATATCTAAACTTCATCTTTCATGCCTTTCATTTGAAATTTATTAATTGTAAGTAATTAAAAAATTGAAACAATCCAAGTTCCAGCCTTTACTTAT